TATGCGCGTGAGCGCCCGGCGCATCGTCATCGGCGTCACCGTCGTCCAAGGTGTCCGCGGTGTGGCAGCGACAGGAAGCGACGGGTGTATGATGTCGTCGATGATCTAATCATCGTCGGGGAACGCTCTTCGGGGCGTCGGGTACAATCGGCCGCGCGCTAATGGCGCCGATCAAGCTTCAAGCGATGTCTTCGTAATAATACATGAGGAGAGCGCCGCGCCACACGCTTTTCGCTCACACGCGATTACGGGGGGGAGTGTAGCTCGATCGCGCGAGGTCCCGCGAAAAAAGACAACGAGCGAAAGCAAAGAGCCGCTAAAAAATAATGAGATTTCCCAAATGTGGACATGCGACTGCGGACGCGTCCGGTAGTGTTCGTCATGTTCCCGACGATGCGAAACGTCTCTCCTTTTCTCCCCCCCCCCCTCTCTCTCTCTCTCTCTCTCTCTCTCTCTCTCTCTCTCTCTCTGTCCCCCTCTCTTCCCTCTCTCTTTCTCCGGCCCATATCAGACACAGACGATATACGGTTTCAACTCGCGACGCGATATCAGGTTCCGCGGTTTGTCACGACGATCGGAATCGAGCGTAGGACGTAGAGCGTCTCTCGCGGTCGAGATTCTCCCGTGAGTTAATCGGAGTCGCTCCGCTCGTTTAGCGGATGCGAAGCGTGTCGCGCGACCGCGCGGCGCGGCGGCGACGACGACGAAAACAATGTGTCGTTAGAGATAAAGAAAAATGTCAATGACAAAATAAAGGTGGAGAATCGTGTGAAACTCCGTAATAAAGTTACGCGCGAAATTCGGCGCGAGCGTGAAGCGTTGGGGTTGCGAGCAGTACGTAGCGTATGCACGAAATCTTATCGAATCCCTCGGCTTTTATGTTTCGCTAACTAGGCATAACGTAAGCGCCTCGTTATCACGATGTGTTATCGTGTTATTTAGCGAAATACGTCCGCCGGGAATTCCATCGTCGGTCAAGGTGCTTACGCTACGCTTTCGCGCGCTCTCAGATAGACTTTCCGCACGCAAAACTAACACGATGACACATTTGTTCATAACCCGAATACGCGCGGCTGACGCGATGGTCTGTCTCTGTCGTTTGCTCGGTCAATCCAGGGAGTTCAAAATCCGATCGGAGCGTGTATCAAAGCGGACGAGACGACGCGTCCGTCGATTAACACGATTTTTCACGTTCGGACGTACGGTATCGTACGCTGTTAAAAACAAGAAAACAAAGAGAGAGAGAGAGAGAGAGAGAGAGAGAAAGAGTAAAAGGCATAAGCAGAAAAGAGCGGTCGCTTGGTATGAACAGGTGAGCCGAGACGGGGGTCGTTTGACGAGAAAGAGCAGCGCGCGAGCTTCGCGGCGCGAGAAATGTCGAAAATTTCGGCGCGAGGACGCGGCGCGGCGGCGAGCGGCGAGAAATAGCAGGGCGGCGGATGATCTTGCGACATCGTGACCTCGTGGCTGAGATGTTTGGCTGCGTCGTTTCACCGACGTATCGGCCCGCATTACGCGGCACACATACACACGTGCGAGACCGCGTTCTTATCCGGCGGACGCGTACGTGTGCACCCACACGCGGCATCTTCGGGTACCGGGCGACGCTACGGCGCCCGTTTGCTCTCGTTGCCAGACTCTTTGGCGGCTTGGCGTCCTACAGGCTATGCCGCCGTTTCCCTCCTTGCCATCTTCACCTCACCACCTCGTCTCTACGTCTTCTTCTTCTCTCCCCTGCCTCTCCTCGCCGGCCGTCCTCTCCGCGCGCGCGCGCTTCGATTCGACCGCTCCTCTCGCGATTCCACAGTTCTCTTGCTTTTCGCTTGCCGCCCCGTTCGAGACGTCGTTTTCGCGTGACGTCCAAGAATGGCTTTTCATGCGTTAATGAATATATTCAATTTCCTCTTCATTGTCGTTTCTATCTTTGCATGTTCTAATTGTAACACAGGGATATGCCGCTGCTATAGCTGTCGCACGATGAAGTGGTCACGGATCTGGATGAAAATTGTCTTATCTCCTCGCGCGACGTCTATTTTCGTGAGATTCAATTCGTTGGACTTGTCACCTCTATTCATCGTCTTTCGAACAAAATGACGTCGGAGAATAAAGTCTCCGATCCCTGAAATAAGTTAGAGGCGTTTATATTTCGATTTACCGAGGTCGAGAATGGCAATCGTCGATTCGGCGATTTCAATCTCAATTGCTTTCATTCACCGGTCGGCCAGTGATATATATATATGTATGTGTGCATATATATATATATAAAAGATTGATTTCGCATTGTGTGTATCACGTAGAGCGGGTTATATTCGCCAAGAAGAGAAGAATAGACGTGCGAACACCCCGAAAGACTGGGAACTTTGTCATTACCCCATCGTGGAATCGAATTACCTCGCGTTGACGAGATAGCGCGCGCGCACGCACGTCGAGGGGAGCCGACGAAGCGGTTTCACTTTTCGCCCTGATCGAATCGCGCGCGCAGTGCAGCGCGGAATCGCTTCCTCGCGCGGCTTCCTCGACGGATCGAATCTCATTTAGATTTCCACCGTGAGATACTATACTCGTACGCCAAGCTGCGGCGTGCGCGAGAGCTCTTCCGGTAAGCCCTTGGCACGCGAATGGCGTGTGCGCACATGTTCAATACGTGCGCATGTGTGTGTGTGTGTGTGTGTGTGTGTGTGTGTGTGTGTGTGTGTGTGTGTGTGGTGACCGCATGGAATTCGCGTCGGCTCGAGTAAACCTGGATTTCAGAAGATTTAACGATCACGTCCGCCGGGAATACGTTATCGGTAGTCCTCTCCTCTTCGCGATGGCTGCTGTTGCTTGCTGCTGCCGCCGCCGCCGCCGCCGCCGCCGCCGCGCCGTGACGCGGAGGATGCACCGTAAAATTGCATACACACAGGATTCCATCGTGTATCTCTCCTTCTTTCTCACGCGCTCGCGCGATGTTTACACCGGACTCGTTTCACGTGGAATATAATAGAAGGATGTAAAGTATGTGCACTCATGCGCGCAGAAAAATTGAACAGCCGAGAGAGCGGAGGAAGACGCGCAACGTGACGCGGCGTTCCGTTAAAAACTTTACCGCGGTTCAAAGTATGTTACGTGCGCGCGTGACTCGCGTTCCGTGAGACTTCTGCTAGGTGACGACAATCTTCCGCAGGGTATAACACCTCTCACCCCCGGAAATTGTAGACTCGTCGATCGCTTCCGCGATCTCGCGAGCAAAACTGCTCGCACTAGATTATTATTCAGCAGGGCGACTTTTGCGTTCAATTGCCGTCTGCTGAGTGATTTCATTTTCTAATTAAATTTTCTATCAAGTTACTCACATATACGCACACACACACACACACACACACATTTGTGCACAGAAACCTTTGAACTTCATGCCCGTGGGAGAGCAACGTGCGTTAATTTTTCAAGTAATTTAAAACGTTGAACCTATAACGAGACTTAATTAAATTACTTTGGCGAAAACCCCGAGTAATCCTTTGTTTCGTAACTCGGAATCTTTTTATGAACGTCCGCCGTCCGGCGTTCATCGTCTGGCGTTCGATTGTTCTCCGGATTATCTTCCGCGCGATCAATTACGTACATTATCATCGAAGTGAGTCCGGAACACGTTCTCTGTCTCTGTTCTGTCTCTGTCTCTGTCTCTCTCTCTCTCTCCATTTCTCCTTTCAATATACTCTCATTTCACGGTCGAGTAGCGGCACCTCGAGTGGCCGTGGACAATGCTTGATAAGGGCGGAAGCGTACTTCACGAGTCGTTATCAACGCGATCCAACTCCTTTATTCGTCGCTCCGACATGAGGCTAATTAAGCAGCGAGCGTACTTCGATCGGTCGGATCAAATGACCTATTATCGATCGACGGGATAATTCGGCGCGATCTAGCCGCCTCGAAGCGACAACGGCATCGGTGACGATCTCGAGTCACGAAAGACCCGAACACGAGCGAAAGGAGACCGCGCGCACGTGTTCGATGTGAGGGTACCTTTAAAGAGAAGGCTACCCGGCCGTTGATTAATAAGGGTGCGAGAAAGCTACCTTCGCGTTCCATTCTTTCTCTCTCTCTCTCTCTCTCTACTACGCTCCTCATCGTCCGCTCTCGCGTCACGACCCGTTCCCACGAAAGCGCATTCCACGCGGCTCGGATTTTGAGCGACGGCGGTTTCGATTAGCGCGAATCGCGCACGTTTGTTATTAACCCTCGTCGTGGTCCCATTTATTCAGTCGTGTTCATTCGGCCACTCCTCTTTGTCTCTCTTTCTGCTCCTCTCGACGTCGTGTAATTTTTCTCTGTCGCCGCGCCGGCGCTAACCGTGTCTAAAGTTGCGATAACGCAACTTTAACATAGTAATAGATTTGTATCTGTCAATGTCTGAATATGCGAAAAGAAAAAATAGAGAGGTGAGAGAGAGAGAGAGAGAGAGAGAGAGAGAGAGAGAGAGAGAGAGAGAGAGAGAGAGAGAGAGAGAGAGAGAGAAAGAGAGAAACGTTGCGGTTTGCCGCCAACTGCTTAACATCTCGCGAATTATTACGTAAGATCCTACAAGAATTTGAAAAAGAGTCCTACGAGTCTAGATCCGCCTTCACACGGATCTCCTATCGGAAGAAAAAGATCCTTTAATCCGTCAAGTATGTTCGAATACCTTGAATCATTGATACGATATCATTGCAGTTTACACACAGGTATCACCGCTATGCGAAACGGACCGTAGAGATAGACGTAGAGAGACTCAACGGGTCGCATCATGCTCGTGCTTTTTCTACTTGGAATATTCATCGCCGCGTTCGATAAAGCTCATTACGATTCAGTATCATTACAAATCGCTTATGCACAGATAACAAGTCGCGGAAGACAAACGCCGAGTCGAATCGGTGCAGCCACACCGTCTCACCGACGCGACGGAACGAAGAAAAAATATAGAGAGAAAATAAATAACGAAGGAAGAAGGAGAAAAGTACAGTTTGTGCAAACAAATGTGTACTCACTCTCCGACGCGTTCACCATTCCAGCAGTGCTTCTCGGGATAGTCCTCGCATATCGAGTCCGCCAATGTGCCGTAGAAGATGCGGGACCTGACGATACTCGCCAGGAAGTTACCCAGCTGCATGTACAACTTTTGGTCCTGGCCGTTGCCTTCGCCGCGGTGCGCGAAGACATCGCCGCGGTGCGCAAGGCTGCCGCCGTCGTGAGACGATGGCGACGACGGCGACGACGGCGACGCAGCTGCGTACGTCTTGCCGCCTGGGGACGATTTCGCGGCCGCAGCCGCGGCCGCAGCTGCATCCGAGCCCGACTCCGGGCTCTTTTCTTCGCCCGATGGCAGCAGCTCCGAACGGCCACACGCTGTCCTCACCTGAAACAAAAAGGCGTTGCACGCTCGGTTATAGTTAGCAGCGCACCTGCGCGACATTGATAGAAAAGTCCTATAAAAATAGAATGGAAAATCATTCCGCTTTCTCTTCGGCGGAGGTCTTTTCCTCGTGAGACCGTTCGTGATCGACACTCGCAACGAATTCATTTCATTTGTGCAAACGAATAATTTCTACAGAATACTGAATTTTATATTTCGAGAAGAACACGCTCCGGACACTGTCCGCCCGGGACACCCTGTAGATCGGCGCACCTGCGCTGCATGCGCGCAGTAAATTCGATGCGTAACGCAAGAGATCGTGCGTGCCATGGAGCTTTTGCCAAGTACGGCGCGCGCGCGCGCTCGGCGAAAAGTGTCGCGCGTCGCCTGTGAAACTGACTCGTTCCCGTTCGGAACGACGTCAATTTCGCGACGATTTAATAGACGACGCGCCCCGACAGTTTTTACACTCGACCGCGCGTCACGCCGCGTTACGCCACGTCCACGCGTTAATCGTGACACACGCACGCACGCACGCACGCACGCACGCACGCATAGCAGCACGTGTGACAGCGCACGTCTCTCATGGCGCGAAAGAACGTGTTCTCTGCTCTCGAAATTGCGAATACGAGTCTCCTTCCTCTCGGCGATCGTGATTGCAAAATGCGACGATGTTATTTCGAAAAGGGGGATTTGCTTCTTTTTCTCGGACGACTGCGCGTTGCTTTGCCGCCGCCGCCGCCGCCGCCTCCTCCTCCTCCTCCTCCTCCTCCATTGAAAATGCTAAACGCTTGGAATTTTCGCGACTGCGAGTCGTGTTCTCGGACACTAATAACGCAACACCCGCACGAGCTGTACACACATCAGAGGCCGAAGCGTGGCTTGCCAAAAGCGCAAGTTTCCTCCTCGTCTTCTTCCGCACGTCAACCTCGCGGCGCGGCGCGGCGCGGCGCGTCGTGCACGTGTGTGCATCTGCGAGTGTGCGGCCCGACGTAATCTAAGGTGCATTCACAACGATCACGTACACAGGAACTGGCGATATTTGAGCCAGCTTAAGTCGCTTTGATTGCTAGTTACGAATCGCGCAAAACGCAATCACGGAACTGCGGGATGATCGAACGTTTTCTCGGGGCGAGCAAGAAGCAAAGCGCGTTTTGGGGTGTGACTCGGCGCGGCGGAATACCTGAGGGGAAGAAAACGCCTGCGTCATCGCGAGAGAAGCTCGATTGTGCCGAGACAAAAGCCCTTCCGCTCGAAGAGAGAAAGCTTTCTCCGCCGAGCTTACTGGCGGGAGAAATATAATATTTCTCCACAAATCGAACACATTTCCCTCCGAATATACGCAGCGCGAAGCGAAGGACCGGATTCCTCCCTGCTCCACCCTTCTTCCTCGGATGACCAATCGAGACGATAAATAGACGCACGGTTCTCTTTCAACCTGTATGTCAGACATATTTCCTCTCTTCTCTCTTATGTCATTATCAATTTCATCGATCGCATGGAGATAACGAACGCACCTAATTTACCGCTCATCACTGTCCGCTCGGCACATAAATCCATTTTCTGGCCTTTTAAATCTCTCCCTCTCTTCCCACTTGCCGTCGTGAAACACGATACGACGACGCTTTAAATAAGAAATTCGGCTCCACGTGAAAAACTTGGCATTTTCACCGCGGCGAAAGTTACTCTCCGAGAGGATTCGTGATGCACGTCAGACACAATCCCCGATCCAAAGCACCCTCCATGGCGCGCCGAGATCGCGCAGCCGGCGCGGATTGAGACCGCGCGCCGTGCATCTTGTCATCTTCTTATCAGGCCCGTCGCGCACCGCGACGCCCCGCGCGCGCGCGTTTATACAACAGTCGTTAAGCTTATCGTTGACATCTCTCCCGACGCGAGGTCTCGTCGCCGCCTCTCTGTCCTAATTACTTTTTAACGCGGCCCATAAAAGGAGCCGGGGCTTGTCGGACTCTTCGAGGCGGCATAATCGTAAAACCGGCCGGCGGAGCGTAATTAAGACGGCACGCGTGGGCGTTCGAACGTCGCTCTCTCTCTCTCTCTCTCTCTCTCTCTCTCTCTCTCTCTCTCTCTCGCTCTCTCTCTCTCTCTCTCTCTCTCTCTCTCTCTCTCTCTCTCTCTCTCTCTCTCGTCGGTCTCGATCTCTCATTTTTTCCCCTTCTCTCTTTCTCCCCGTGCTTCTCCCCGAGCCTGTCTCTCCGTCGCCACAGACGGGACGACTCTTCCTTCCCCCGATCTTTTCCCCTCGAATCTGTCCGATCAAACACCAGACTACCATACCGACAAGTGATGTCTGGAATGTTGCCCATCTACCGAAACGATCCTAATTCGCAGTATGTGCCTATTGTTCCGATGCGAAGCCGCAAAGGGTTGCTCCTGATGCGTCGGTTCTTTTGCAGGAAACGAGACTTCCCCTCCCCCCTTCTCCTGGTGAGAGGCATCGATTTTAAAGAGAATGTGCATAACGAAAGGGAAAATTCCTCCTTACGTCGATCAAGTCGGAATGTTTAAAACGTACCTGCTGTCAGCGCTTTCAACACGTTTTTTATAGAGGTGGGGAAATGATAACATCGGTCTTTCTGTGAATGAATGCCTGAATGTCGAACGAGGGAACAAACTGTATGCGGAGAAATTGCGGATTTTTATGTAACTCGAATAAGCGTGGAGCAAAGTGAAGTGAAGACGGCCATAGCATAACGATGCAAGAACGTAAAAGTCGGAATGATATGACCATTTTGCAAAATCCCCTCGTAAAAATCTCCGAAAGTCGATGGATTTCACACGGCAAGCACCCACAAAAAACCCTCGCGATGCAATCTCATCCGTTGTAATCCTGTCGTATGAGGTATGACGTAATCGAGAAAAAAAAAGATACATCCAAAAAAGGGCAAATGCAAAGCATTCGATATAAGGGTGCGTTGCGAGTTGAAATGGTGAAGGGAGAGGGAAGGGACAGAGAGAGAGAGAGAGAGAGAGAGAGAGAGAGAGAGAGAGAAAGAGAGCCGAATCGCAACAGGACGAACGATGACACTATCAGCATGAATAAATCTCGCTCGTAAAGCGCGCGCGCGGGTGGAATCTTATCGAGAGAAATTTCGCGCGTCCCCATTCACCTACCTACACGCAAGCTTTACCCTCGAGCGGCTTTACCCTTGACCTGCTACGGTAAGTGGCGACAATGAGTTCCGTTTCTGACTCGTGGGACAAACGAGGCAGATTAGAAGATTAGGATGTTATCGCTTAACGCCCCCGTCGCTTTCGTTCGTTCTCGATCGCCCGCCCGTCCGCTCGCGCTCGGACACACACTGAATATATCGCGACGATCTTGCGAATCCCTCGTTAAGAATAATCGTTTGCACTGTTAACCCTGAAAGGGTATTCTTCGCGGACTATACGTTAAACGTGCGCTCCAGAGGTCTCGAAGATCTTGTATACTCGGTGTCGATAAGCGACGTCGGCGCGGTGTACTCCCTTTGTCCGAAAGCGTATGTCATGTCGAAAGATTACTGTTATATTTTCCTTAACGCAAGACTGCGATTGATGATATCCGCGACATGGATTTGCTTTGTTTGGGACGATAACAAGCGCAATAATTTCAAATATAATTGGCCGAAAGTGAAATTTAATTCGATCGCGCCGCTTTCGCGATGACAAGATGATAAAAGTAAATCTCGTCAATCTCGGTTGGGACAAAGTCCCTTAACGAGGATATGATACGCGTAATCGGCGACGAGGGCAGTAATTGCGATATCGATACCACCGTGGATATCGCCGATAAACTGTATCGATAACGGCCCACCGAGGGACGAGCGGACGAGGATGTTCAAACATGCCCGCGAAACCGAGTACGACGACGGGAGATCTCGTTTATCGGATAAGACGGGTCTCTCTCTCTCTCTCTCTCTCTCTCTCTCTCTCTCTCTCTCTCTCTCTCTCTCCCTCTCTTTACGAAAATAGCAACCGTGTAATTGATATACAGCGTGCGCGATTCAAGTGACGCGTAAGAACTGCTCCGCTGGAAAAGAGATTACCGCTCGAGAGGGAACGTACGAGATAAAAGGCGCGATATATATTGGCCGCTAGCAGAAGAGACAAAGTGCGCGTTTGATTTTTTGAAGAACAGTCCTTTCCTCTTAATTTGATTATTGATTTCGTTCAAGCACTTCTCGCGTGCAATGCGCGCGTGTACGGACGAAATTTAACGATGCGACGCGAAAAACAGTGTCGCCTCGTTAATCATAACAGCCGCCGCCGCCGCCCTTTTCGCTCAGATGGCCTTTAACATTGAAAAGCCGTCTCTCGGCTCAAGGCGATTGTTTCTTTCTTCCTTTTCGTGCGACAAGAAACTGATTTCACAAGTCTGACGGTTTTTCGAGAGCTCGTCGTCAAAATTAAGATCGACTTGGGCGCACTTGAACGTACGCTTGATCGTAAATTAATTTGCGATCGATACGAAATTAGTTCTGTTCGTTCTACGATCAGCGTTTCACGATACAGCTCATGCTCACGAGTGTGTCTCCGAAATTCCGGGAGCGGCGGTGAGTAATCGTAGACCGAGAATCGCGGTTTCCAAAGATCGATGACGCGCGCGGACGCGGGTACGATGATAATAATAATAATAACAATAACGATAATAGCCCAGCGGCGGCGAGAAGCGGTGGGATCGCGTTCAACTGCCGATGAATAATAACGCATCCTGCTCCACCTACCAGTACGAGACAATACCGGACGATTCCAAGGATCCTCGAGCGGCCGTGCAGCCGCTATCCCGAAGTCCCCACCGGCGCGGCGCGGCGCGGCGGCGGGACGGCGAGCCGTGGCGAGGAATATCAAGTGCCATACACCTATTTTATCTGCCAGAATGCGACGACCGCTGACGATCCGTCCACTGACGCATCGGATCTCCTCACGTCTCCTATGGGAACTCGCACTCGATGTCTCGTCGCGATATATACTGGTATATCTGGATGACGTGCGCGACCGTT